ACCATGTCCACCCTCAGTCTCCTCTGCTCAAGGAAAACAATCCAAATCTATCCAATCTCTTTACAGTCAAAACTGTCCAGGCCAGGCAACGTTCTGGTAAATTACCTCCACACCCTCTCCACTGCCATCACATCTCTCCTATAATGTGGATTCCAGAACTGCACACAATAATCTAGTTGTGGGCTAACCGACGTTTTGTACAATTCCAACATTATCTCCCTTGACCTTAAAGATGTAGTGAGAAAAGGGATCAGTCGGAGACTGGTGCAGTTGTGGAAAGGAGCAAGTCAAATATTCAAGGCAAGCAAGAGCAAAGCAGAGAACAAGGTAGGGCTGATTAATTAAACCACATTTATTTCACTGTAAGAGGCCCGACAGGTAAGGCAAATGAACTCAAGGCATGGTTGGAAACACGGGACTGGTATATCATAGCTATTAAAGAGATGTGGCTCAGGGGTGGACAGGACTGGCAGCTTAATGTTCCAGGGTATAGATGCTATATAGGATACACGGGGAGTGGGAGGGGTGCAAAAGAGGAGGGGGGTGTGGCGTTTTTGATTAGGGATAACATTACAGCAGTAGTTAGGGACGATATTCCAGGGAGCATGCTCAGTGACGTTACTTCCGTGGAACGGAGAAATAATAGTGGGACGAGCACCTTATTGGGATTGTACTACAGACCCACACTCACCACCCCCCACCCCCAAACGAATTGTCAGCAGGAAATAAGAAGCAAATTTGTAAAGAAATCTCAGTTATCTGTAAGAATAATTGGGTAGGAATGGTAGGGGATTTTAGATTTTCAAACATAGGCTGGGACCACCGTAGTGTTGAGGGACTGGATGGGAGAGGAATTTGTTAAGAGTGCACAAGTAAATTTTCTTAATCGGGATGTGGATGTACCTACCTACAGAAGAAGCAAAACTTGACCTAATCTTGAGAAATAAGGCAGGGGGAGTGAATGCTGTGTCAGTGGGGGAGCACTTTGGAGCAAGTGTTCATAATTCTATTAGTTTTAAAATAGTTAAGCAAAAGGTTAGACCTGATCTACAAGTTACAGTTCTGAATTGGAGAAAGGCTAACTTTGATGGTAATAAACAAGAACTTCCAAAAGTTGACTGGGGGCAGATATTCGCAGGTAATGGAATGGCTGGAAAATGGGAAGCCTTTAAAAATAAGATAGAGTCCAGGAACAGTATGTTCCTGTTAGGGTGAAGGGCAAGGCTGGTAGGTAAAGGGAATACTGCATATCTAGAGAAATTGAGGCTCCAGTCCAGAATAAAAAAGCAGCATACATCAGGTAAAGATAGCAGGGATCAAGTGAATGCCTAGAGCAGCATAAGGGCAGTAGAAGTATACTTGAGAGAGAAATCAAGAGGACAAAAAAGCAGCATGAGACAGCTTTGGCAAATACGCTTAAGCAGAATCCAAAGCGTTGAACAAATACATTAAGGACAAAAGAGTAACTAGGAAGAGAATATGGCCCCTTATAGGTCAGAAAGGCTGCCAACGTGTGGAACCGCAGAAGATGGGCAAGTTACTAAATGAGTATTTTGCATCAGTGTTTACTATAGAGAAGGAGATGGAAGCTAGAGGGTTTGGAGAAATAAATAGTGATATCTTGAAAATACTGTCCCTATGACCGAGGTGGTGGTGCTGGAGGTCTTAAAATGCATAAACATGGATAAATTCCCAGAACCTGATCAGGTGTACCCTAGAAGTCTGTGGGAAGCCAGGGAAGCGATTGCTGGGCCTCTTGCAGAGATATCTGTATCATCGATAGCCACCGGGTGAGGTGCTGGAAGACTGGAGATAGTCTAACGTGGTGCAATTATTTAAGAAAGGTGGTGAGGAAAAGCCAGGGAACTACTGACCAGTGAGCCTGACATCACTGGTGAGCAAGTTGTCAGAGGTGACTTCAAGAGACAGAAGTGTGTATTTGGAAAGGCAAGGACTGAATAGGGATAGTCAACATGGCTTTATGCATGGGAAATCATGCCTCTCGTTAACTTGACTGAGTTTTTTTTAAAAGAAGAAGTGACGAAGAGGATTGAAGGAGGCAGAGGAGTGGACGTTGTCTATATGGCCTTCAGTAAGGCATTCAACAAGGCTCTGCATGGTAGACTGGTTAATAAGATTAGATCACATGGAATACAGAGAGAACTAGCCACTTGGATACAAAGGCAGGGTGGTGGTGATGGGTTGCTTTCCAGACTGGAGGCCCGTGACCAATGTTGTGCTGCAGGGATCAGTGCTGGGTCCACTGCTTTTTGTCAGTTATACAAAATGAATCGGATGTGAATATAGAAGGTATAGCTAGTAAATTTGCAGATGACACCAAAATTGGTAGTGAAGTGGACAGCAAATGTTACCTCAGAGTACAATGGGATCTTGATCAGATGGGCCTAGGAGTGGCAGATGGAGTGTAATCTGAATAAGTGAGTTGCTACGTTTTGGTAGGGCAACTCAGGGCAGGACTCAGACACTTAATGGTAAAGTCCTGAGGAGAGTTGGCGATGAACTGACCTTGGAGTACAGAAATCGATCGGGTAGTGAAGGCAGCGTTTAGTATGCTTGCTTTTATTGGTCAGTGCACTGAGGTTAGGAGTTGGGAGGTCATGTTGCAGCCACACAGGACATTGATTAGGCCACTTTTGGAATACTGCATTTATTTTTGGTCTCCCAGTTACAGGAAAGATGCTGTGAAACTTTAATGGGTTCAGAAAATATTTACAAGGATGCTGCCAGGGTTGGAGGGTGGGAATTATAGGGACAGGCTGAATAGACTGGGACTATTTTCGCTGGATTGCTGGGGGCTGATACGGTGACCTTATAGAGGTTTATAAGATCATGAGGGACACAGATAGGGTGAATAGTCAAGGTCTTTTCCCCAGGTTATGGGTATTCAAAGGTAGAGGGCATAGGTTTAAGGTGAGGGGGGAACGACCTAAAGGGATCTAAGGGGCAACCTTTTCATGCAGTGGGTGGAGTGTCTTTAGAATGGGCTGCCAGAGGAAGTAGTGGCGTCTGGTACAATTACAACATTTAAAATGCATTTAGATCGCTACGTGAATATAAGGAGTTTTGAGGGCTATAGACTAAATGCTGGCAAATGGGACCAGATTAATTTAGGATATCTGGTTGGCATGTATGAGTTGAACCAAAGTGTCTGCATCTGTGCTGTACATCTGTGACTCAAACTCTGTCTCAGCTAAGAAAGGCAACTATCCCATATGCATATGCCTTCTTAACCATTTTATCTACCTGTTCTAAGGTCCCTCTGATTCTCGGCGCTTCCCAGGTTCCTACTGTTCCATTATGTATTCTCTTGTCTTGTCTGTCCTGCCCAAGTACATCACCTCATACTTGTCCAGGTTAAATTCCATTTGCCACAGATCTGCCATCTATATCCTTATGTAATCCAAGGTTATCCTTACTGTTTTTAACCCCAGCAATTATCATGTCATCTGTGAACTTTCTTTTCTCTATTCAGTTATGGGGTGTGGGAGTCGCTGGCTGGCCAGCATTTCTTGCCCATCCCTAGTTGCCCTTGAGAAGGTGGTGGTGAACTTACTAATCAATATAATTTAAACATACCAAACAGCAAGTGATCGTGGTAGAACCTCATGTCTCTCAGGCTTCCAGTTACTGAAACACCCTTGACCATCAGCCTCTGTTTCCTGCCACTCAACCAATTCTACATCCAATTAGCCAAAATTCACTGGATTCCACAGACTTTTCTTACCTTTGCTACTAGTCTCCCATGTGGGACCTTATCAAAAGCCTTGCTGAAGTTCAAGTCGACTACGTCAAATGCCCTCATCCATACACGGCACCTCATCAAAAAAATTTCCAAGTCATATTGGTTGTCTCCCTACCTCGAATTTCGTCAGTTTGCATTTCCAGTAACTCTGAACTGGAGGGTGCAAAGGCAAACCTAACTAATGACAGCAGCTGTTAGATGCCTTCCCACAACAAATTGAGAGTCCTATGTCTTGCAATAGTGATGCCAAGGGGCAAATATGGGTGAGAAATTGGAGGGAGCCCTAAAAGCTTTTAAAATATATTCAAACAAGATAAAAACCAAGGTTTTATGAAACTATTTCACAGGTTGTTACTAGAGCCCGCAACTACATAGCTGGCAAAATAAAATGAATATAAAACACTGCCAAGACAACTTGGTGGTTTTTAACGATCAACTGGAAGTAACGGTTTGAGCAAGACAAGCACATTTGACCCAAATGTTTTAATACACCTTTTTTGTTTGAGGGTATATTTCAGAAACATACCTAAGAAAATGTAATAACGTCGAGATTTAAATACATTTAGTCAAATTCCCCAAGAATAAAATGAGCTTTCTCTGCTTAAGTTATAATGCTATCAATGCAATGGCATTGGTATTATTGGGAGGGATTTGAAGCGCCAAAAAAAATACTACATGACATAGTTCAAAATAAAAAATAATACCCTACATTTCTGCCGCTAAAATGATAAAAAGCATGTATATGTACACCTATCATGGGCATGATCCAACCAAGATTTCACTCTCCTAGATTTTACTAATATTAAAGTGCAAATATTATTTACAACCAATTAAAGGTTGAGAGCCTTGTTTTTGAAATGTATGATGGAAATTGGACCAAAGAATGCAGGAATACGATAATAAAACACATTGATGCTATAAATGGATTCATATCACAATTTCAAAAACAAGAAAGGGAAAAACTGTACGGCAGTAGATCAGTCCTGCTAGAGCGGAGGTTTGTAAGTGTAATATTTTGTACAAAATACACAAGTGAATTGTTCTGTCATATTTCACCAGGTAAAACATTTAACTGACAATTAACTATTTCTAGCTACAAATGCAGAATCAAATATGGTTGGCTCTTAAAACTGTAATTTGTAACCTTGACAAAAACAGTGCAATGACTAGAACTAGTTTACCACAACCAGGAGATAAAACGATAATGCAATACACCTACTTTGCTATACATATTCAGTAGACAGACACCACTTTTCTGAACAGAAAATTAAATTGTCTGGCATTTTGCCATTATCCCACTGCAAACTTGGATGCTTCTGTTGCAACACTTACCGTTAAGAACGCCTTCTGTTCCTCCTGAACCCCTCATCCTTATATAGGTAAGTCCCAAAATGACAAAAAATAGACATGCAGCAGTTAAAAGAAACATGGATAAGTAGTGTGCACTGAATCCACCAGTAGCCGAACCCCCCTCCCTTTTAAATTGCTGCAATAATTCCTCCTCAGGCTCTCTGGGGCTTTTGCGATATGCACTGTAGATGTGGTTACTGCCCGTATGGTTTGAGTGATTAGCATTGATCAAAAGGGAGGACGAAGGGCCACTCGGACTGGTGATAAAATTACTTGTGGTGCTGACGTGATTATTGTTTCTGGTGCTGCTCTTGTAAAGACTCTCTTTCTCAGTAGCCAGCAGTCCTGGACTAATCTTTTTGGAAGAGGAATTACGGAACCGCAATAACATGGTGGGGTCCGCTGTGGCGTCTTTCTCCCTCTGATCCTCTTCCTCCTCCTCTAGTTGGTCTCTCCTGGTGTCTAGACAGCAAGGACCGCCGGCGACGTCGTGGATCCGTTTGGCGCCGCCTCTCCTGCCGGCGCCGCTCTCCTCCACCATCACCCTCGGGTTATGACTGTTAACGGTGGCCTGTAATTTCTTGGAGTGACTCCGCCTGGAGTTGGGCCTCCGGCTCGATTCTTCTTCTCGTTCATCCTCGGAATCGGAGTAGTTATCCTCCCTAACGTAGGAGACACGATTGCTGCTGCTGTTGTTGTTGTGACTCTGCATGTCGGTTCCTGGAGGTCGTTCCTCTTCCTCCGGCGACTGCTGGACGCCGCCGCTTGGATTCGGCCTCCACCAAGGGGTGGGGTTCCCTTTCCCGGCCAAAAGCCCCGCTCCACCGCCGCTGTTGTTGCTGTTCACCATTCTCGGAGGAGTGCTCCTCCCTTTGCTGTGACTAGGCCGCGGGCGGGGGCAGTCGCCCGGAGCTTTATCTGTCCTGCTCGTCCTCTTGCCGGCATCGCTCCTTCTGCCGTTGAGCTCGGCGTCCGACTCGTCCGAGCTGAAACCCAGCAGCTTGCCCGGGGTGACGGGGTTAGTCGTGGGGGTGGCCGACCCGCCGAGGCGCAGGCCCGAACTCGGGCCTGTCCCCCCGCCACCGTTCCTGGTTTTAGGCCTGGCGCCGCGGTCCTCGCGCAGCTTCTTGAGCTTCTTCAGGTAGACGGGGCGCGTGCTCTCGGTCACGGGACCCGGGACCAAACCGAACTTTTTCAGTTCGGAAAACAATTCCGTGTCCGTTAACTGCGCCGCCATCTTACCGCGCGAGGCGTGAGACTACCGGAAGTGACGCTAACAAGCTCGCCGCACCCCCACCCCCGGAGCCAGAGCCAGCAGGCGGGAGGGCGCACAGTGCTTTAAACTGGCCGAGGAAGAAAGGGGCCTTAAAAGGGAAACGTCCTCCACTCTCCGTTAACCTGGCCAGCTCATACCAATCGACAGGTACCTACTTGGGAATGATACTGAGAACTCTGGGTGCTGAAGATCTGAAATACCAAACACAAAACAAAATGCTGAAGAGCCTCAGCAGGCTTTCAACTGGGGAAGGGGGTCAGTCAGCTCCGATGAAGAGCCGTCACGTTAGTTTGCTCTCTCTCCGTGGACGCTGCCTGACCCGCTGTGATCTCTAGCATTTGTTGCCTTCAGTTCAGATTTAGCGCTTCATGTCCATTGAGCCTTGGCCAGTTCTGAAGAAGGTTTCCGTTCTGAGGAAGGGTCACCGGACCTGAAACGTTAACTTTGATTTTTTTTCTTCACAGATGCTGCCAGACCTTGCTGAGCTTTTCCAGCAACTTCTGTTTATGATTCTGAAGAAGGCTCACTGCGTACGAAACGTTAACTCCGTTTTCTCTCCACAGATGATGCCAGAACTGTTGAGTTTCTTCGACTTGGGACACGCTCAGCTTTTCACTTTTTATTTGCGAACCCGCTGCACTCCTCCAGCTCTCTTCATCTGTTGCTCCTTTACATTCCACCATTAGTTTCGTCAAAAATAACATAACATTCCTGTGTTTGCGTTGCCAGCCCAGTAATTTGTCTTGCGATTGTGGGATGTCCTAGGAATATTCGGGCATCATAACGGCAACCCCAGTTACAGTCTAAGTGCAGCCAAAATCAGAATCCAGACCTTCATTTGGCTGAGTGAGACGACCTGCATATTTTAAAAATGGTTTTGTTCGTTCAGGGGATGTGAGTATCAACGTCGAAGGCAGCAAACGCCTAGTTGTTCTTTAAAAGGTGGGAATAAGTTGCCTTCTTGAACCGCAGCAAATCATGTAATTGCACCAGAGGTGATGACTGCAGTTTCAGAGCCGTCTAGAGACATCGTCATAACCGAAGCAAATTATGTTAATTTCCACATCTGTCATTCCAGTTTGCCCTTTTCTGAGATCTATTTATTTTTCTACATTCAGTTCCTATTGCTACATTAGTTTCTCTCTGCAGATGTGGCAAGCGAGTAGCTGATATGCAACTAGGATTTCCAACTTTTGTTGGACATGTTCCAAAAGGCTTTATCCAAGTGGGCTCTTACCTTTTCACAGGTAAACACCCTTCTACTCATTTCCAATGCTGTTACTTCAATACACGTGTTGTTCAAATAAAATGATAATAAAAACTCAAATTATGTAATGATTTTTCCTATGGTTACTCATGATCTGGAAGTGCTGGTGTTGGACTAGGGTGGACAAGGTCAAAAATCAGACTGGTTTTATTTCCAAAGTAGGAATTTATAGATTTGCAGATTTGTAATTGTAGATATACCCCATGTTGTTCAAAAAGCACACAATTTGTAGACAGTCGGTCAATTGGCATTTTATAAATCCCTACTTTGGAAATAAAACCAGTCTGACTCCAAGTTAAAACACAGAAGGTTCTAAATGAGGTCTCACATCTAAAATGCATTGTCTGACCTGAGATGTCACCTCTGGTATACTGATGAAACCTGTAGTTATCTCGGGGCAGATGACTTGAGAGAAATTCTTGGATTTGCATATTAATCAATCAAAACCTGCATCTCCTTTCTAACTGATTAAAGATTTAACAGCCATCTTAAGTTTTTTTTTCAATACATTTGCATCAGTTCTGTGACCCTTTACTTATAAATTCTGTGCCTGATGTTATCTCTCTCACTGACACCTGAAGAAGGATTTGTGGTCATCATTAGATTCTTAATTCCAGATATTTTTAGTGACTTTGAATTTCACCATCTGCTGTGGTGGGATTTGAACTTGAATGTTACCTGGGTCTCTGGAGTAACAGTCCAGTGATAATACCATTAAGCCATTACCTCCCTCCACCTGTTGGATCAATAATCTATAATGGGTTTTCCATTATTTTATATTGCACGCCTTTCTTCATCTTTGACATCTGTACAGCTTCACACATGGTAGGATTTGCCTAATTAGCAAGATTTTAAATAGGGTGTTAGCTATTTGCTCACCTTAGAAGCTCTTCATGCAGAGCTTATCCAATGTTATCCTATGTGACAATGGTTCTCCTGATCAGATCATTCTTTGCTGTGGATTGCCTAAACTTGCAAATAGGCCAAACCTGAAAACTGCCTGATGTAACTAAAATACCTCGGCAAGGCAAAGCATCTAAAATTTCAACAAAATAAAACAATTTCACACTGTTACTCTGCAATGGTTACATGAATGGTATTTTCAACTTACAGGATGCTGTTATCGATCCAAAAAAAATCAAACTAACACATGATTGAACAACCTTGTGTATACATTTCATTGATGGTGTAATGCCAGGTAAGTAAGTTGTACACCATAACAAAAGAGTGACTGAATCAAACAACACGTTTGTTCAATTGTTTGAAATAGCCAAAAGCCAAATTAAAATTACTACTGTAAGATCTGATTCCGCAATTGGGTAGCACTTTTTAAATTTCCTGATTATGCTAATAGCTGCACTAACTCAATTTAAAGTAATCCATCAAGATTTAACATGGCTCATTTATGCTTGCTTAAAGTGGCATATATTCATATGCAGTGATTTGTTTTCTCTGAACAAAAGCAGTATGTTTAAGCCTTGCAACTTCCTTTAATTACAATAAAATTTAGGGAGCCTATAGTTCATTTCCATGGCAATGACTTTGGCAAACAATCAGCATTCTCTCCTGTGGTGTAAATTGTTGTATTCAATTGAATTTGGCATTTTAGCTTTTGTCCTGATGAGTACAAGATGAAAAACTTTGGTAACATATCTCCCTTCTCAGAAATATTCAGAGATGAATATTGTCAGTACAACAGACACTTTTCATACGTCTTCTAAATTATCAAACAGCTTATGTCTTGTGGATTGAAATAGCTATGGTAGTAACAATATAAGTAAAGTATTGAACAAGTTGAAATGAAGTAATCTGGAATCACTTCATAATGATCAAATAGATAAGCTAACCAGGATTGATCCTTTGAAATCTTCTGGCCAAAGATGATTAGTCAAATACTTTTCAAAAGGAAATAACAGTTTTATTCTGTAGCCTGTAGTCATTGTAGGCATTATCTGAGCATAAGCCAAAGAATTAAGTTAATTCACCGTGTTTTATGGCAAGACAAAAGATGAATCAAGTTCAATAATGTTTAAAGCCAGGATTGCCCTTTAATCTAACAGCAATTCCATTTGGTGCATTTCTGGACAGCCTATCCCAAAGAAATTTATAGGACAAATTTGTCATCATTAAACATACCGACACAGTACCTAGCTAACATTCAAGGAAATATCAACTGATTACCAATTCATACAAAGAATAATCAAGAAGTGCTCAGGTGGAACGTTGACATACAACTTTACAATTAAAATATTTGCATATCAAAGCAAATTTCCTTCAAACAGTTACTGTTGCAACCACAGGTGAGCAGCTTTTGGCCTATTGTGCAGTGCTGGCTCTTTCAAAGAGCAGCCGTGCATAGTTCCCACCTTTTGTTTGAAACCTTGCAAGTTCCTCATCCTCAATAACCTGGTCAACTTCCATTTAATATTATTTAAGGAATCAGCTTCCACCACATTTACAGGTAAAGCATTCCCAATCCTGTCAATTCTGAGTGAATCTTCTTTCCATCTGTCCCCAGTTCTTTTGCTAGTAATTTTGAATCTATGACCTCTAGTTATTGACCCACTTGCCAGAGACAATATTTTTTCTCAAAACTTCTCATCATCTTGGAAACATCTGTCCTATGGATAGCAATCATAGTTGTGCAACTAACAGAAAAGCTAATCTTCTGTATACATTTCTATCTGTTACAATTCTATATGTAACATTCTCCTCCTCTTTCAGTGTAAATTTCAAATCATCTGCCTCCCTTCTGTAGACATAAAAAACGTTGCTCATGTAATAATTGAGCCCGTCCTGTACTTTTTCTGGAAGATTCCCTTTTGGATTTTTTTTTTTGTCTGAAATAATCATTTACACTTGATATGTTTAGAAAATATTTAAGGGTTCAATTTGATGTTCCCTGTTAATCTACTTTCTAAACTCTTTGTTTCTTCAGACATTTATGTTTTCAGTTACCTCCTGTACTTTCCATAACTTTCTTGGTTATTAACTGAATCTTGCTCCTTCATCCAGGATTCATTAGCTTTGGATGCCTTATCTTTTCTCTTTTAAAGACTATGCTTGTTTTGTACCCAAGCTACCTTTTTCTTCAATACCTTTCATTGCTCCATTATTGCTTTCCCTGAAAGTTACCTTTTCCAATCTACCAGTGCAAGGTTTTCTCCTAAATCATAAAATGAGCTCTCACCTGCTAAAGCAGCATTACATTTGATTTACCATTCTGGCAGTGCCAGATTTAGGCATAACCTAAGCAAGCTTACGGCCTCTCTATGTGAGGGGCCTGTAGGTATGACAAAAATGAGCAAATCTCAAATTTTTCAGAATAGTCAAATGCTGAAGGAGTCAAAGGAAATAGATTCTGTAAAACATGTATTGTTCTGATGGTCAAAAATATACTCCTTTGATTTTTTAAAACTTCCCTCATGGGATGTGGGCATCACTGGCTAGGTCAGTATTCACTGCTCATCCCTAATTGCTCAAAGGGCAGTTAAAGATTTAACTGCATCGCTATGGGTCTGGAGTCACATGCAGGCCAGACCAAGTAGGCCAGAAGGATGACAGATTTCCTTCCCTAAAGGATATTTAGTGAACCAGATAGTTTTTTCCCAAATATCAACAATGGTTTCATGGTCATCATTAGACCCTTAATTTCAAATTCTTTACCGAATAAATAATAATAAAAAAAACTACCATGGTGGGATTTGAACCTAAGTCCTCAAAACATTAGCTGAGCTTCTGGATTTACAATTCTAGAGATAATACCACTAGACCATTACCTCCCCTGACTACATACTGTCTG